ACGACTTTCCAGCCATTGCGGAAATCAGAGAATTTGTCACTCTTCATCCTTCCATTCTTGGCGAGGATCTCACACCCGGCTTTGAAGAGAGCGACAATGACCATCACCATGAAGACGAAGAAGACAAAGAAAATGAGACCTGTAAGGAAGATATTGGTCTGTTCAATGCCTGCTACGAAACCGATACGTTCAATGCCGCGCACGACGACGGTTGAGGAAGTAGCCGCGTCGTTGGCGGCACCAGATCTTTTCACGACTTCGTTGACGCCCCTCTTCATCAGGTTCGTTGTAGCTTCAATAGAACGTTTTCGGCGTTTCAGGACTTCGACGGATGTGGTTGACAACTCGGAAAGAAGGGTTGAAGGCGTTCCACCGGTCGATCGTTGATACCAAGTACAAAGGGTCTCCAGGAACCCAATGTGAATGATACCCATGCTCCATTGGAAATTCTGCGTCCATGCTTCGACGATCGGCGGCATTGCAACGGAGATCATGCCAAACATAGCCTGCGACTGCATGAAGCCAAAAAGAGAAAGCGCATTGGCTGCGACATGAGCGGCGGTATTTGAGTGACCGAGACCCGAGGTGATTGCGGAAGCAGCAAGACCCAAACCGGAGATGATGGCTGTTGTCCAACCGACGCCTTTCTGGTAAACCGTCTTGCCGTTCGACAGACTAGCTTCAATGCAAGTGATACTCTTGCCAGTGTCTGTAGAGTTGATATAGATCCGGACCTTGGCATCAAGATCAGGGACCGTGTAGGCGATGCCTAATGGTAAGGTTAGCGAGATTACACCATTTTCAGACAGCAGCCAGTGTAGGCATCCTCACCAGGGATCTGTTTAGCCACATCCTCTGAAACGACTACATTGGCGCTGGGGACATCGATGGGACCAGCGTTCATTGGGCAAAGACCCGCCAGATTCATTTCGCAAGGATCCAGCTCTTTCCTCAGTGCCTCATATCCATAGGCAGTGAGAACAAGCTCCGCGGTAACCTTACCGGAGATCGCAGCGACTCCATCAAAGGCAAAGGCTAATGTTCGATTGTTGGGCGTGAAGGTGACACTGAAGTAGGTTGCTGTGAAGTTCGAACTGTCTTGACACAGGTTCAAGGCATTGGACTCGATGAGCTTTGTCGCAGACACAAGCGGTGTTGCGAGAAAAGCGACGAACAAACTGATGATTAGCGATATTAACCGCATGGTGGCAGGGCCCTGTCGAGCTGTGTTTTTGCACTCGGCAGCGGGGAAGTTCGTGGATGGATGCGAGAATAGATCACAGTCAAAAGGCTGAAATGATCACTGTCGAATGGGAGGTGGTACTCCAGAGTACCAGGTGTGGACCGGCCGGATGCGGAAATGTGGTATCGACCAAAGGTTGTATTGTAATGATGTGGAAGCGAGGGTAACGAGCAGCAGAATCCAGAGAAGAGTGTCGATTTAAGTTTGTTCGAGTAAGCTCTGGTTGTATTGCGGTTGTTCTTCAAGAAGTCATTGAAGGGACCATAGATCGATATCCAGCGCGAGTCTTCTAGACCAAGTAAACGAGAGAAAGAATCGCACGATTCAACACGGCGACGAAGCGATCGGTAACAAATGCCAGGAAAGAGTGACGATTGTCGCAGCGTATATAAAAGAGTGTCGAAAGCGATATTGAAGTCGTTGGAGGACGATTGAAGCGAGCGGGACGGCGACACACAGTGTATGGCCCAAGAGGGTAAGACAACCAAGGGGACGGGGTTTCCCTGAGATATGGCCGTCGTTCTCTCTCCGTCTCTTTCTGTTTTCTCTCTCAAGACGCTCCGATTTGGACCAGTAGTCGAGAAGCGGTAAAGAGAGATACCAAAGAAAGGAAATAAAAGAACGAAGGTAGTAGAAGAGATAAAAAACTGGCACCCTTTCACTCTTGACCTCTCCAGAAACACAAGAAAACGGGGGGTGTGGATGGAACGGGAAGGTCTGGTCGCAGGAGTGACCACAGGAATGCCGATGAAACACCCTCGACAGCTGAGTCAGCACGGGGGTTTGCGTTGTGAGGTGGACCAATTACAGGCGATCACTGCATCTATTAATTAAGGTCACAGACTGAGTCTCAGGCAGCTGTGCCCTGGGTCGAGTGGATTTGCTGCAGTTTCAATTCAAGACAGAATCTTGGGGGTAGGTAACAAGTAACAAAGGATACGAAATAACATTGGAAGGTTACGTCTACAGTGTACTTATGCAGGGAGGGAACTTGGTTTTACATTAAGCCGAAGATTCTTCAGCATGACAAGTCTACATGCGCAGGATGATGGATGACCTTGTCAGCCATCGAGTTTCTTGTTGAAACTGCCGTAATGCTTGGATCATGCTCTGCAAGTTGTCTCGCAAAAGTTCCCTTGGCGGACAACCACCCACTGCATCCACCACCAGAGCAGATCAACCCAGCCCGTGCTGAGCCTCTGTGTGTTCCAATAATGCACGCGCGTCTCTCAGGGGCGCCATATTTGCTGGTCCGCTGCACCAAATCATTGGTTATAATTTTAATCCATTTCAAATTTGCCTTTGCGTCGGCGGCAACAGGAACACTGTCTCCTTTGTACTACGTACTTCAAAACTTTTCATCTTGGTGAAGTTTTTTTTCGATTCGTTCTTTTCCGTTTTCTGGAATCATGCTAGACCCCCGAAAAGGCCAAAGGGAGCAGTATCGTCATTCGTGAAGGCTGGGTATACCCTAGATGGTACCAAGGACCCCACGGATTGCGAGATTACATCCATCAAGGGTTCCAAAGGCACCAGTGGATCTGTCCCATTGTTCCATTGAAAATGATATGCTCATCGTTACTCGCCTTGGCGATTCAGCGTCTATTGCATTACTACTGTATGTTCCCAGCAATCACCCAGCCACGTCCAGGCTGGTTCAGAAATTGAAGCCAAGTATTGACAGGATGTGGACTGTGGACTACCTCAGGGTTGATCGTGGTAGCGGTCTTCCTGCTGGTCCTCTTTCAACCTTGGATCATTATTTCAAGCAGATGCTATTAATAACTCCGCCACCCACGCAAACCTTGATGCGATCATGCAAACTGTCGTTTAAGCTCAAGCCTGAAGTTATATCAGTGACTGATTATCATGATCACAAAATTCATATTTCTTTGGCATTAGCATTATTTGTATGCCCTTTCTCAAACAAGAACACAACTAGATCGTTGATGTAAAGTCTAAGCAGTAAGTTAGCGCCTATGTCTAGGTTCTGCACAGCCTCCAAAAGACTCCTTGGCGCATTTAACGATGGTTATGGTGCAGACGTCAGGATTGTCAGTTCCGGTCTAGGGAGTAGAGATAGATGATTTTCAGTTTCATTTGACAACAACGATCTGGAGGACAATGCATACGATACTACTTCAGCTCAAGCATCATGGTCCGGTGATAGTCGCACCTTGCCGTCCCTGATCTACATCAGAGGCTGGAGGTTGGAGCCGATCCTCCCACTGGAATGCGCGCAATGACGTTCATCCTCACCGATCTTCGCGGCTCGCACTTGTACTCGTCATGCGATGACAACTTCAACAATCTACAACATTAAGGAAACCAAGGAATAGTACTTCGTACTTCAACCCTGATGGACTCAAGACTCAAGGACAAAGAAATCGCAAATGCAGTTTCAGTACAGTGAAACTCCAAGACTTGAACAGACATTAGGTCATAGGCAGCAGGAATTGCTATTTTTAGGATGCTCAAACCACACACTACGTGGTAGAAATTGCATACAGAGTAGACTGATACCTCTCGTAGTTCTCTTTATTATGGCTCACAGCACGTTTAATCTTCTTGCATCTAGCCGAGACTGAGATCAATACATAATGCGTCGCCAAGTACTCGGCTACAAGTGAACGCCCAGCACTCTTCTCCTTGGATTCAAGGCAGCAAAATTAATCAGTTGAATGTATCTTGGCTCCCAAGGTCACACCGCTCCTATAGTGCATAAGCCCCGTTAAAATGACAGTGTTGGCGGCGAGAGTTGCCATGCGCTCTTATGCCTTCATTGGGAAGTGTGATGAGACTTCAGCAATATTAGGAAGTACTGCAGCTTGAGATATACAGCTCCTCCTGTGATCCTTAAAAGTACGTCTTGGTAACGTACCCCTTAGACCGCATGCGATTCTAAGTACGGAACTAGCCAAATCTCCGCTTCGAAATCAGCACCAGGGACTACTGAAGTCAATAGAGAACGTCTACCTGAGAGAAACCAGTCGAGTCCAGAGGACCAATGTCCCCTAATTCTTCATAATTCATCCCTTGGGGTTATGTCTGCCTCGCATGGGACTCACGAAGACATTGATCTTCTCCCAAGCGCAGTCCAGATCACAAATCTACCTAGTTACAGCAAGAGACACTGCGCCTAGATCGATAGAAAATAACCTCGAAGCTAAAAGTAGGATGAGAGCACGACAAAGTGGGCAAGGTGCTCCCTATGAGGTATTTTGCTCATTCGTTTAGTCCAAGCATGAGCGAGCTCAGGACTTTATTCCGATGTGTGCTGTCAACGTCCGCATGCTTCGCTGGGACAATTGCAATACATCAATGGATATGTCATTGATTGCGGAGTTCATATCAGTAGATGGAGGTCGAAAAAGAGAGTCGTGCAACATCAGATATAATGTCATCTCTGCATATAAGATCGATATCATCGAAGATTCGGGTATTGTATCACAATGAAGTGGACATAGGTCTACCTGAACTGAAACCTCACGTACCTTGGAAGTTGAAATGTGTTCCAGTATCTTTAATTAAATTGATGCCTTGGGAAAGTGGCATACAAGACTGCTGACACATCCGACAACAGCAATCAGTGCCTATCAGCACGTGACGTGGAGTTTTTGCAGTGGGTCGACCCCAAGAAAAAAAAAAAGAGCGAAAAATAGAAGGCATTGTCAGTTCACAGCTTAGGCTTTTTTTAACCAGACCACTTTAGCACTCCAGACACAACTCGTCTCTTTTACGATACGAGGCAGTCGAGATGCCGGGCCCTGTGGATACAGCGAAGTCGATTACGAAAAAGCGCAAGAGAAAGCACGGTGGAAGTGCTCGTGCAACAACTGAGACCGATGATGCGACTACTCAGCCGGCCACTGAAAATGGAGCTGTGACCGATTCTCCTGAGAAGATGGAGGATATTAAGAAGGACAAGAAGAACGGAAAAGATAAATCCACTAAGAAGCGCAAGGTCAGCCACGCATCTAGCGACGAAGAGAGTGAGAAGGAGGAACAAGAGGCTGCTCCTCCTCAAGCCGACGGAGACAGCGACGACGAGGAGGATGGCGAGGACCAGTCGGAAGCTGAGAATGGAAACACAGGGGATGAGAAGAATTCTGAGTCCACAGATCTTCCTTCGGCGGACGCTCTTCGTCTCCCAACGGTAGAGGGCGAGCCTCAGAAGTTCACAGAGCTGGGTTTATCGGAGAAGACATTGAAGGCCATCAATGATATGGGTTTTGAGACTATGACCGAGATTCAAAGACGAACGATTCCTCCCCTTCTCGCCGGTCGGGATGTCCTGGGTGCCGCAAAGACCGGTTCAGGGAAAACATTGTCCTTTCTAATTCCTGCTGTTGAGATGCTGAGCGCGTTACGGTTCAAGCCTAGAAACGGTAAAACAATATTCTTCCTTCTTATGTGAGAGCGGTTTATTGACTGGTCATCGTCTTTTCATGCAGGTACTGGTGTCATCGTTGTCTCCCCAACACGTGAGCTTGCCCTTCAGATCTTCGGTGTGGCTAGAGAATTATGTCAATACCAGTAAGTGACCTATAGCACCGACTTTAGCACTCAGCAGTTGCTGACTTGTGGCCGTAGCTCTCAAACATACGGTATAGTCATTGGAGGTGCGAATCGGAGAGCTGAGGCGGAGAAGCTCATGAAGGGTGTCAACCTCCTCATTGCAACCCCCGGACGTCTGCTGGATCATCTGCAGAACACTCAAGGTTTCATCTTCAAGAATCTGAAAACACTCGTCATTGATGAGGCGGATCGGATTCTGGAAGTTGGTTTCGAAGATGAAATGCGCCAGATCGTCAAGATCCTGCCTTCCGAAGAGAGACAGACGATGCTGTTCTCTGCCACCCAGACCACAAAGGTCGAGGACCTGGCGCGTATCTCCCTTCGACCCGGTCCTCTCTATATCAACGTCGACCATCGAAAGGAACACAGTACGGTCGAAGGCTTGGAACAAGGCTACGTCATTTGTGAAGCGGATAAGCGTTTCCTGCTTCTCTTCTCTTTCCTGAAGCGCAACCTCAAGAAGAAGATTATTGTCTTCTTCTCAAGTTGCAACTGCGTCAAGTACCACGCCGAACTTCTGAACTACATTGATCTGCCGGTGCTTGAGCTTCACGGCAAGCAGAAGCAGCAGAAGCGTACCAACACCTTCTTCGAATTTTGCAACGCCAAGCAGGGTACCCTGATTTGCACTGATGTGGCTGCTAGAGGTTTGGATGTGAGTCAATTCTCCACAACGATTTATCTGTCTGCTTTGTGCTAATCATCGTTTCAGATCCCCGCTGTGGACTGGATCATTCAGTTTGACCCTCCGGATGACCCGAGAGACTACATTCACCGTGTCGGTCGTACCGCCCGTGGTGCCAATGCCAAGGGTCGCAGTTTGATGTTCCTGCAGCCGTCCGAAGTCGGATTTTTGAAGCATTTGAAGGAAGCACGCGTGCCCGTGGTCGAGTTCGAATTCCCGGCGAACAAGATCGTCAACGTTCAATCTCAACTCGAGAAGCTCATTGGCCAGAACTACTATCTGAACAAGGTGCGTTTCGTTATTGAGCCTGTAGGCTCAGTTAAGTAGGCGAACAACATGCTGACATGCCTCCAATCTAGTCCGCCAAGGAAGGTTACCGCTCCTACCTCCAGGCATATGCCTCCCATTCCCTTCGCTCTGTTTTCGATATAAACAAGCTCGATCTCGTCAAGGTCGCCAAGGGCTTCGGATTCTCCACCCCACCACGCATTGACATCCAGCTGGGAGCTAGTCTGAGCCGCGACAAAAAGCAGCAACAGCAGGGGCGGCGCAATTACGGCAGCCAGCCGCACAGCAAAGGATTGAAATTCAAGCGGAAGCATGAAGACTAATACACTATTACGTGGTTATAGAGCGTATCTGGAAAGCCCAAAAGCAATCATGTTTGATCATTGTGAATATTGGCGTCATGTCTCATAGGAGTGCAGGAGTCTATACATATTTGTGGATATATAATTTGTCTACATGCTCTAGTCATCTTATGTTCCTTCCTTGAAAATTCTCTCCTAACCATATGTATTCAAAGTACCGAGTTGAACTAACTGGCTCGAAATCGTCCGAGTTGACTACCTATATTTCAGCAAGGAACCCAAGCATCAGTTCACGGTCCTCTTAAGGTGCCCTGTCAGATACACACGAAGCTTCTGGATCTGAGCCTCCAGCGAGAGCATAACAAGCAAGACGAGAGATGAAGCATATGTTCGAACGTCGGGCGAATTCTCGGAGTCACAAAGCCGATACTAGATAACTATATCTCTATAAATGGCATCGATTATTCCCTTGATTCAAGGTGACCCATGTAAGGTACAGTCTTGCACCCAATTTTCCCCTATGCAAGTATGCATCATAAACCCATCCGGCCTTTGCTTTTTCTGTTCCTCTCATCGGAACTGTAGAAAGAGCACAGGGAACCAAGGAAATGCAAGATAGTCAAGACTGTTCGGAGTACCATGGTACTTTCAGGCACAAGAGGTAAACATCCTTGCGATGATTCCGAAGCGATCGGATGTGACTGGTTGACTCTCCCCGATCATCCGATTAAATATTGCTTATTCTCTAAAATTTCGTTTCCTTTTGAAAAAGTGAAAGAAGGATTGTGATACCTGAAGCTGCAAACAAGAACCCGGTGGCTGGTGATGTCGGCCGCGGTGGCTGGGGAAACCCCATTGAATTAACCAACCACATCACGGGCGTTAAGGTGGGATGTGATGAGTTGGCCGGCGCATGGAGCCATCACGCCCAATGATGCAGAGAACACGAGGGTCGTCCTGGAGATGGCTGATCGGCCTTGATAGGTGTCGGAATTTCCCTCGGATTGGGGATTGATTCAGCACCAAGGAGGAAATGAGACTTTGAGAGTCAAACTAACCTTCTACTTTTGGTATGAGTGTTGTTGCCATGAGCCAGTGCTGGTGGTTCCTGGAGAGCGGGTCCTGATCCCGCGCCAACGGTGGATACTCAGAGTTTGTGGTCCTGTTTTGGACATAGATACAAAGCTCACCATTCAGTCTGACGTTAAACAGCTCGAAAGAGTTCAGATTATTCGTGACGGTGGTCATTACGGATTTTTTGTCAGACTGATAACTCAAATTACTCTGGCCGCTGGATCCCAATTAGGGGTTTGTCTGTACCACTAACCAGCACAGGATCTCAAGAGCACGGGTCTGAGAGGACACCAATGATTCTGATCGGCTACTATCTGCCATTGTGGAGGGTAATTGCCCAACTTGTGCTATTCTCCCAGGAAGTAATCATTGATGGCAGATTCAACATTTATTAGATACGATTGTGTGTATATACGCCGCAGACCGGGATACATCTCTATATAATGATAATGCAATGGGGAACTACAGTGCAATGTAAATATGATCCCAAACGAGCATCTGGGCACACAGACGGAGAGAATCTAACACAAGATATTCCGTAGAAAGTCCATGGAGCATTCAATGCGACAGTAACAATTTTCTCAGGCTAGGTCTGCGTACTGTACAATTGTCCCAGCCACCTTGCAGGTTGATGAGATTGGGCGTCACCTCGTAGTCTTGCCAATCGGAATTGTAACGGTAGCTCTTGTTTCCTCCTATTACACTGAGTCGCTACTACTCGGACTAGGGACGGAGTATATACCTTGCATTACTCCAAGGGGACATGGACTCCGAGGAAGGGCTTCATATATACATTGTAGGATGAGAGAAGGGGCAGAAACATTGGAAAAGTAAAATAGAAGTTTCGTGATAAGGAAAAAGATAGAAGAACAAGATCCGCATCTGAGAGCTTCCTTCCCACTTTAATAATAATTGACATTCAAAATTCAACGCGATTCTAGAGCACCCGTCGCCGCTTGGTGTGTTGCCGCTGGATAATCTGGTTTTCTGATCCTCCGCCAGCTGGCTGGCTACTCATCATCCCATCAACACTAGGTTGACTAGCTAGCTAGATAGATCTTGCCTTCTCCTGTCTTTTCCAGCCTTCGTCTTTTTCCCTTGTCTTCCTGGCTTTCTCTCATCTTCCTCCTTTGCTTGCTTTCTGTCTGATTGATTACTGTTATCTTTTCTGCCTTCTGAAAGACTATGATCGCAGCTTCCATCTTAGAGACAGCGAGCCTGTGACTTTTTCGTCTCCACCACCTTATGCGCCAAATCTCCCAGTTAGATACGGTCTGAGGATTAGGCTCTCTTGTCGGTCAAGCTCTATCTATTTCCTACTGTACGCACGCCCATACCTACAGGCTACAGCTGCTGTTACCGTCAAGTGAGGGATCGCCGTAGTCTAGAGGCGACATTCAAAAGTCGAGTTAACGTCTGTCGGCCTGTACACTTGTCTGTTCGACTTTGTGGTTTTCTTGCTGTCTGCTTGATTTCTTTTCAATTTACTCTGCATTGGTACGCTTGGACTCCTTTTTCTTTTCTCTGCCTCTTGTGGTACCAGACCACTATCTTCCCTGCAACAATTCACTTGCTTGCCTCACTCTTCCCGACGACCCCACCATCACCGTCCATACTGCATGTCTACAATCTGTAGTGACAAACCATCGTTCAGCTCTCTGGATCTCGGTGGCAGACCCCTCGTCATCCTACCCGATTGCCTCCATTGCCTCGTCAATCCCCTTTCAAGCTTCCCTTACCCTCAGAAGTATCTCGACAAAACAGACACAGCCTACTATGATCTTGTGTGGCTGAGGACCTCACATACTGGTTCCTACCAAGATGGGTGTCGACACCCGCAGGCCGATCTTACCCGCCCCCACTGAATCCATCGTCGATACCACTGGCGGCAGTGCTACAGGGACTGATTTAGCCACTGACCTCTCTCGACGCACAGACAAGACGTCGTACTCAATCCCTGACGACGGAAGCCCCGTAATCATCTCCACCCGGCGGAGACACCGTGACCGGGGCGACGATTCCAAACTGTCTCGCTCATCGCATCACTCCCAGACCTCCCTTCTTATCGAGTACTTCGAAGGAGGGAAGGGTTCTGGTTCCTTGACCTCGCGGCCAAGCGTCCGTGTCCGAGTGACTCCCTCGTCGGCTCGTAAGGCGAAAGAGCAAAAAGATCATATCCAGATCAGCGAGTCGAGCGGGAACCGAAAGCCGGTCTACTCGCGCCGCATTTCATTCAGCTCCCCTTCGAAGCACAAGTCCCTGATAGAGCCAGATGATAACAGTATCTCGTCCTCCAACTCTGCTATCGACGAGAACCACCACTCGTCTCGGCATCCCCCGGTGGAAATCGAGTTCGTGAATCGGGACCAGGGCAGTGAGCTGTCCAGCCTTTCGCGGGACAGGTATATCCAGCCAACATCGGACATCTCGTCGATGCCCGCGGATAGCATGCTCGAAGCCTCCTCTGCTGGTCCACGACGCAAACGAAGCTCGAGTCTTCATAGGAAACACGATCACGAAACCAAGGACTATCTCAAGACGCCGACCCGCCAGAGAAGCCGCAGTCTGAGTACGGAGAGAATCGCTCATCGAGTAGCTGAGAAATTGAGCAACGATCCACGCGACCGCGCCACCAGCAAGAAAAGCAGAGCCTACCGAGACGACGACATGGCGAGTCCTGAGTCCAGCCTATTGAGCGCTTCAGCGGTTTCTCACCGCAAATCCGGCGACCAATACTCTTTCCGGTCGGGAACTTCCAAATCGTCGATCAACAATCCAAAACTGCTTGAGACGGTTGAGGATGCGATCAGACGATTGATTTTGCCCGAGTTGAAAGAACTCAAAAAGGATCAAAAGGTCATCTCTAACACTTCCAAGTTTGAACGTGATCTCAATGCTTCCTACACCTCCTCTGCCAGCTCCCCGTCTCGGGATGAGCTGGGTCGGCGTCTGTCCAAGCATGCCAGTGCGCCAGATGTGATGAAACCAAAAGTTGTCCTTAACAAGGGTAGCAAGGACGAAGGGATCATACTCTCGGGCGACCCTGTGCCGGCAACGAAGGAGCGCCGCACAAGCAAGGACAGCGAGAAGAAACTCGAACCGACCTACGCCGTCTGGGGCAATCGGCCCGAGCTGACCGAACAAGACAAGTTGCGGAGACAGAAAAGCAAAGGATTGCGCCATGCGGAAAAGGCCGCGATTGTAGGGACTGCATTGACCGCGGCCGCTCTGAGACGTCATGAATCCCAGTCCAGCATCGACAAGGATGAAGGCAGAAGAAGTGTCGACAGGGACCGCGCAGAGGGCATCAATGAAACGGAGCTAGTTTTTCAAAAACATAACGTGGCGCCCATGCCGTTGCGCAGTGCCGTCGAGACGGAATTGACCCGGGACTCTCTGTTGTCTCAACGGACCGCAGAGACTGAAACTCCGCACAAAGAAAGCAAAGTCCAGGACGTATCGCGCAGCTCGCCCTTGCAAGTTAATTCTCCTACTTCTCACACTCCCAATCGGACACCCTTGGGCTCGCGGCATGAATTGGCTCTGAAACACAGCAACCTTTCACAACACAACCTCTCATTGCACAGCACCTCAAACCCTTCTCTTCACGATCGGGATCACTCGCCCGTCAGCGAGGCTGCTGCTGGGGCTATTGCTGCTGCGGCAGCGGCTAACCTGTTAGACGTCCATTCCGACCGTCGAGACTCCGACTTCCACAATGACTCGCGCCGACGCACGCTCAGTCCTATCCAGAGCGTAGCCAGCTATCAGAGTGACTCTCAACCCCAGCAGTATGCCTCTCAGCATGATCAACATGAATATTCTGAGGGCGAGAGGGAGCTGGAGCCACGACTGTCGATTGAATCGCTCTCCTCGGCGCCAAGCACGAGCCTCGCGCGGTCAACACGACCAGACGGCTTGACAAGTCATAGTGAGATTTTGAAACA